CCGCGTCCCCGGGAGACCTTTCTGAGGGGTGGGGGGGTGATTTATTTTAATTTTTAAATAAAATCTCTTATTTTCAGCTTTACTGGATTCCCCAGGAACTCGAAATACTTGTCATTTTGTTGCCTTGCTGCTTTATTATCATTATCATCATCATTATTATTATTATTATATTTTTATTTTACCTAAATCGCATCGTTGATCTCCAGATCTCCAAGTTCCAAGAGTGGTTTGCCACACATGATTGACTCTCTGTGTTCAGCGCTTGGAGATCCATCTTGGAAACAGTGTGGTGACTTTTTATGCACTTTTTAAGGCCACGAGGATGATGAGGGGGTTGGAGCACCTCTGCTACGAGGACAGGCTGAGGGAGCTGGGGTTGTCCAGCCTGGAGAAGAGGAGGCTCCAGGGAGACCTAACAGCAGCATTCCAGTACCTGAAGGGAGCCTACAGGAAGGCTGGGGAGAACCTGTTTACAAAGGCCTGCAGTGACAGGACGAGGGGCAATGGCTTCAAGCTGGAGGGGAACAGATTTAGACTGGAGATTAAGACTGCTCAACAGCAAAATTCAGGATTATTGTTTGAAACAAACAAACAAACAAACAAAAAATACTAGGAAGACAACAGGAAAGACTGAGGAGGCAGAAGAAAAATAGGCAGGGGGAAGAGGCCCTCTGGAACATGAGATTTCTGGGTTTGGGAATCCGGCCTCTGAAAAGGAGCTTAACGAGCTCCGGGAAATCATGTATCTGTGAGAACGCCTGTCTCTCACTGCTGAGGCTGTTCTTGTGTACTGAAATCCTTTTAAGAGGAATAAATAAAGTGCCTTAAGAAATATCCACTAATGAGGAGCGGAAGGAAAAGAGTTAATTTGCTGTTACAAGAAGTAGTAAGGGTTTCTGGTTCTGAAGACCTTGAATGATCTTTACTTATCTATGTACTGATAAAGAATCACCAAAGAATCTGAGCAACTTCTATTTTAAAAAGGAGGAATCATTCGAATACTATTATACATATTTACTTCATTTGTTAATACTGAAAAGCCTAGAATCTAATATTTTCTTAGTCTTTTTGTGTAAACTATGGGGTGATTTTCCCCATAATATATTAAAATATGAAGCAAATTCTAGGATAAAAACTCTGCTAAAATAAAATAATAATTATTAATTTGTCTTGAGTACCCCATAAATTCATCTGATAAGAGCCCTTCAGCAAAACACTGCGGAGACCTGTAGAGATCAATATGAACAACAATTTATTCACCATAACAAAAGTACAGAGAATTTCAGGGGATGTTACATGAGGTGCCTATATCAGCCTTTTTCCCAATTTTTCTTTGCCACTTTTGGTGACGGTGGTTCAGCAGCTGCTGGCGTCTGTCCTGTAAAGTTGTATAAAGGCCATTTTTGTGGCCAGATGGTGAAAGCACCGAGGATGGACATCACCTTTATTGCTATTACTGTCAGACCCTGTGCTCTGAGCAACCATGCCATCCGAGAAATGACTCACAGAGGAAGGCCAGGGTAGAAGAGACCAGAGTAAGAAAGGAAGCATGAGGCTCGCTGGCAATTAAATAGTTCTCCATGTGATTGCTAGCATAGACTCATTTTCAGAAATTAGATCTCTAGCATAATAAAAAATATTATCAATGAGACTTATAGATCTCTCTTAGTTGTCTCTGCATAGATGTGAAATGATGGTACCTCTAAGCCACACAACTTTGCCAGCAAAAAATCATTATCAGATATAGTTAAATTTAGCAAACAGAGGCTATAGAGGCAAGTGTTCTTTATGAAAAAGGAAAGAACAGCTATGGCAGGGGACAATTTTCTCTTTTAGAACAGGTCTGTTCAAACTTCCAAACCGCTTGTTTATAGGATTTCAACCTTTAATTCCTTTTCCAGCCTTTTTTTTTGTGGTTGTTGTTCTGTCCCACTTGGGTGTCCTACTGAATTACTTCCGTCCGTAAAGATATGGTGTGCAAATATTTTCCAGGAAAGAATGGAGGCTGGAAGACATTGGACCTTCCTAAGCTGACTGTTTGCAGCGAGCAGCAGCACGAACACGTGGATGATGCTCCTATATGAGTTGGAAGGAAGAAAATTTCCATAGGAAAGCTTGCATCAAAAGGACTGGATGCCAATCCACCTTTTGTGGTTCTCAAGTGGAAGATCTGTCCAAGATCTCCTTGATGAATTTCCTCAGAAGGGTGGTGTTTTTTTCCCTTAGCCTAGTTTGCTCAATGTACCCAGTCTTTGCTAGCACAGGCAAATTTTTCCTAATCTCAGTCATTTTAATTGATGTTTCCTATTTTGTATTCTGTTCCCCATTTATTCATGGGTGACAGGGGCCGTGTGCTCCAGCTCCTCTCCCTTCTTCCTTCTGCCAGCAAAACAAGCTCTCAGTTTGCCTTGAGCTGTATAACAGTCTCTGGGGAGAGACCTGGAGGAACCTGTTGGTTATTGCTCAGAGCATCTACCACTGGGCCTACTGGAAATAGCTATCAGCTCAACAGCAAAATTCAGGATTATTGCAGCTGCTAAAGTAAAAAAAAACAAACAACAAAACAATAAAATATACTAGGAAGACAACTGGAAAGACTGAGGATGCAGAAGAAAAATAGGCAGGGGGAAGAGGCCAAAGGACTGGGAGAAGGGGATTAATATACTGAGCAAAGGGCTAGAAATCGGAGACAAAAGAGCATTTTCTGAAACTGGTGTTGCCAGTTTAGTTCTGTTGTCGGTTGCGAATTTGCATAGAGGAAACCCCTGTGCATTTGCTGTGAGGTTCTCATGCTATTTCTGTCCAGCTTTTTTCACGCCAGCAGCATTGTGTCTTGACGTGATGTCCAAGAAGACATTTGCATGGAGGATTGTTGTGAGCCCTTCTCGGGGTGCAGCCATAGTGCTGGTAGGAACAGTGGGGCCTGCTGCTGGTGCTGGCTGACCTGCTGCTCTGAGGGGACTTCTTCAGCTGCACCAAGGACCTGGCTCTCAATGCTGTGATAAACAAATTGTTCTTCGAGGAGTTATCGAAGAATAAGCTATTTTCTCCATTATTCAGCCCCCCCAAAAACGGGACTTTATTCCACAGCAGAATATATATAAAGAATATAAATATTCTTAATATTTCCACTGCAATAAGTTATTACTCTGCACCCGGAAAATGCTACAGGACTGGCTGGATCCCGGCTGCTTGATCTCATTCTGAAAAATTTCAGATACAAAGGAAGATTCCTAAATTTGTAGGGTATGCTTCGTCAAGCTAGAGAATTAAAGAGCAAGCACACATGGTATACTATGGACACAACATGAAAATAAATATGTTTTTAAAACTCTCCTCTAATTTCCTTCTTGTAGCTAAAGAGGGTAGGAAATCATGCAGCATTAGGCTGGGGTGGGATTTCTAGAATTTACTCCTAGGAAGCACCACTGAAAAATGACAGGAGTGGTGTCACTGGTTGCAGTTCTAAGAGATGCTCGGTGCTTTCATGCTGTGGAAGGTCCAAGGTCTGAGAAAGGAGCGAGAAGAAGAAAGGAAGGAACTCTGCAAATATTTCCCCTTACTGGTTTGTCTTCTGTGGTGGACAACAACAATTGTCCTCAACAATGTTGACACATTTATTTGTAGCTTGTTTGCAACAAAGCATGAAATCAACACATTTGGTGGTGTCCTGCTGATACTTTTTATCCCTTTTCCAATAATGATAAGCAGTTGAATATAGTTAAATACTCCTACCTGCGAGTCGGATGTTCCCTCAAGGAGCTTGGGAGGTGTTCTGGTATCTAAAATTGCTGGAGGAATGAAACTCTTGGCTTTGGTTTCTCCATTTGTGTGAGCATGGATAAAGGAGGAGTTTTGGTTAAAACAGACAAGTTGCCAGAGCACTGGACATTTTAGCCCCGTGAATGTAGCAGCTTTAAACTTGATTTTGCAAGTGCTGTGCTTTCATATTCAGTAGTGTCTGCAAAGTTCTCAGTCTCAAAGGTTGAGGTCTCTCTGCCTGGCTTAGAAAAACAAAGCCTACCCAAGCAAAATTGGGTCAGGCTGTGGGAGGGAGAGAGGATTATTTGGATTTGCCTGTAATATGAAAAAGGACTGTTTATTTTTGTTTTTTTTTTCCCCCCTATAAGTAATTCTAGTTTTCTCTATTAGATCCGATCTGATCTGAAGACAGGCCAACATGGAAGGCCTTGGTGTTCCTAGCACGAAGAGGAAGAAAGTTATCAATTACAACAATTATCAAGTTATCAAGTACAAATATTGGAGTATCAAGTTTAAAGACTCAGCATATAAGGTGATTTCTGTCCTTGCCCTGTGAAAAATTTCTCTAGTTTTACAGGTACATGTCTGTTTATTTCAATTAATCAAATAATTGGAAAGTAACTGAAAACCCAGACTGCGACTCTGCTCATATAATCCAAAACAAATTACTTAATTAAAATACTATTCCTTAGTTATGCTAAGAGGCTTCTTTCATGTAACTATGGTTTCACCAACATACACTTTCCTGAATTATTAAGACTTACTGCTTATCTGCTGAGTTTTTTGGTTTCAGGTGAAGTGTTTCAAATGATGGTAAACAGCACAGAGAACACCAAGCCCTGAATTACAGAGCACTGACCTGTGAGGTCTGGTAGAATCATTAGACCTCACATAATTCATTATAA